AATTCATTAATTTTGTTCCACCTAAACACACTGATTAAAGCGTACTACGCTATACGGAAGAAAATCTTAATATAAAACACAATATGAAGAAAGAAGACAAAGAAATGAAAAAATTTTTCATGAAAAATTATTATTTATTTTTAAGAATGTTAACATCAAGGACGCCATTTTTTATATGTAATTTTAATTAAAAATCTAAAACAAAATGTGAAAAAAATTCCAAAAAATAATTTGTTATAAATGACAAGAAAACTCTTTTTCAACTGAAAATTTAATCTACGATTTGGACTTACAGTAATATTTCTCTGTATAACAGTAATAACTATGTCTCTGATAATTTAATTGTAATGAGATTAAAGCCACTCATGAACACAAATTTTTTTAATATAAAAATACTTGAGACTGGAAAAAGCAGTATGAATTTATTGTTAACAGCCATTCATTAACAAAATTTTAATAATTTTAGTGTTTTAAAAGTTAGAGCTCTCGGTAATCGCGATCTTAATCTGGATTGATTTGGAAGTACTGGTATGAAAAGAACATTACATTATTATATTCAGAAATTTTGAAGCCAGCAGAAAAGAAACAGAATTGAATGTGAAATTATGTAAGAGGGATATGAATGTGAAATTATGTATTATGTAATAAGGATATGTAAGTGTCAGAGAATCGCTACAGCAATAATTGGCAAACCAACATGTTAATCTAGTGGTTTATCGTGTACAAACTCAATGTAATCAGTTACTATAACACTTCAACTACAACCCTTTTAGTTGTGAATATTTTCGTGTTTTTGTAAGCAGGTAAGTTTTGAATATAGACACTTTTACAAAATAAATGAATCATTTTCCGTTCCCTTTTTGAGCGCCGCAAAAGTGAATAAAAGAGGAGGGATTAGAAAAACCGACTTGGAGTAATCTAAAAATCTGTAACGGGAGTTTGAGGAGTATTACTCAATATCGAGACGTTTAAAACTAATATTGACCAAGGAAAATAAAAATGTTGAATTGGGTTGTGGGTACAATAAAAACAAAGAATTTTTTATTGTGAAACACGTCAACTTGCACAAACCATCTTAGTGGAAATGGAAAAAAATCATTATTCAATGTATCTTTATTATTGATGCCAACAGGACGTAATAATAATAAATTTTTCATATCATAATTTAATAAATTGCAACAAAAAAAAAACTTGTGTACTGTGCACCACGAGATGGTTCAGAAAAAAATTATTTTTTAAATAATTTTCAAATATGAAACGTTGTCCTTATCAACTCTCTTCACGGTCAATGGACAATACACAATGTCAAAATGACTTTAGAGCTCATCAATTGTACATTTTGACTTTGAGAATTTCAACGGATAGAATTTTTCTTTTTTTCTAATCAAAATTCAATTAAATTTTGGAATTTTATTTTGCAAGTATCTACAATTGTTCAGATTGCTACAATTTCAAATTAATTTACTAGAGCGTTTCGAAATCATTTTGTTTTTTTTTTTATGTAGGCAGCATTTTTTTTTCATGTAGGCATGCATTTTTAAAAAAAAATAGCAATTTTAGCTTGCCTACATAAAAATGAAGTGTTTTGTTTAATTTTCGTTTTGTTATAAATGAAAAAAAGAACTCATTAAAATGAAGAAATTTTAGAAAAAATTCAAGGATGAATGCTGCCAAGAACTGCTCTAGGATAAATAAATAATAATATGTTAAATAACAATTTTTTGACAATAATTTGGAAATATAAGACTAAAATTTCCAAGAAATTTAAATTAGTTATTTTAAATATGTAAACATGGTCTTCTAATGGAAAAGGACTGTAAAATATCTAGACTTTTTCTGTTCTACTCTTAGTCTAATCAGTATCATATATATAAAGAGTGTTTTATACAGTGGCGCATTAACATGTACTTCGCAAGCTAAAAAATTGTTCCGCAGTATGTTTTTTTTCGGAACTAACTTATGAGTTAGAGTCTCTAAAAGCGGAATTTGTTTTTCTAACTTTATTGACAGTAGGCTAGAGGTTTGGCTATGTGAATAATTTTTTTATGAAGATGATGCTGAGGCAATCAAAAAGCTATTTCTCTGTAACTAAAAAGCTTCTAAAATGGGCAATCCGAACACTCTGAAAAATACCGTTATTTAAACAAGCAAACAAAATAGTTCAAACGTGAAGAAATATAATTGACCATGTCAACTCTGTGATACCCGTACGAATTTCCTATCCTATGAGTGAATAAATATGTTATGGCTGACTATGAGTCGTTGGGACGAACGGGCGGACGGACGGACAAACGGACAGACAAACCTAAATCAACTCAGAATTCGACGGTGGTCAGTAAAGGCAAATTTAGTATACCCTTCGAAGATATGTTCGTACCGGTATGAAAATTAATTTTTTAAACCGTTGTGGCATCTGAAGTAAAAGTGTTACAAAGTTCGTATGCTTGTTGTATACTTGTTGAATAACCTATTGTATTAGTTTTCCAGCGAATAAAAGTGCCATCATATTTCACGCAGTTAAAATTAGTCTATTTTTCGTAAAGTCAGAAAAAAAAATTTGCCCTTTTGAGCCCTTAGCTCTTAAACCGGTTATGGGAGATAAAACATTTTTTCCTTATACATGAAAATCTACATGGTAGTCTACACGGTAATCAATGCACAACCGTATGAAACACCTTATATATATAAAATCTCATATTTTAAATTTAAGGAATTGTTAAATTCTTTTTCGGTTCCTCTTAATCATATTTTTACTATAATGAATGTTAAAAATTAATTTGAATTCGTTGTTGCCGCTTAATTTGTTATATAAGGCGCATTGTGTGTAATTATTTTGAATTTCAATTACAAATTTTCAGAAATTTAAAATTCTAGAAATTTCCTATGACAAATCTACTTAAACATGTACACATAAGCACTCGTACATAGTGCATTCAATATAATTACAGTTACATGCTAATGTAACATGATCATTTTGACAACAAGTTAATAAATAAATTTAACAAAATAATATTTAACCTCTCAAGACCCTATTAATTAGATGAACATTTCAAATTGTTAGGAACAAAGCAAAAAAAAAGAGAAAAAAATAAAAATATTGATTGCAATTATAAAATAAAAAATAAAATTTCAAGATTCTCAAGATTTATTAAACAAAATAAATTGACATTTTATTGACATTTAATTATTATACATGTTTGTATATGTATGCATAAATATGTTATAACTAGACACAAACACAAAATTTAAGTTGGTATAGGTATAATAAATTTAATTTAGTTCGGAAATCAAATAAAAATCCTCTCTTACCCTTTTTTTTTCGACTCAATCAAATAATCCAAATTACATGCAATCAATATTTTTTTTTCTTTTAGAAAATTATTCTTATTCTGCCATTTTTTTCTTGTTCTGCCATATATGGTGTGTACATTATTAACCTAGAACTGTCAATTAAACGTCACCCCGTATGTATTTTGTTTTTATTTTCATTATTTTTTTTTTTTTAATATACAACTAGTATCAATTAGGTATGTACAGACGACTTTTTTGTCATTTTTTTTTTAATAACGAAAATTTCTGTGAGTGAAAAATAAATAAAAAGTGAGAGAGAAAATAAAGAGCATTTTCGTATTTTTTGTTGTACCTATGGTTGAAGGTCACTGAAACTACATAACTATATGGGTTAAATTACAAAAAATAATAAATATTTCAATAAAATTATTTACCTGACATTTCATTAAGCATCAAAGATAAGGGGGAATTTTAAGGGATCGAAATTGGTTTTGTTCGTTATAGTCAAAGAGGTTTTCTCACTCACTTACTCAGTTTCAGTGTAGAGCGTTTCTACAATATTCTTTTAGTGCGATTTATCTCATTTTTCAATACAAGAAATACAACTTAAATGAAAATCATCAAGGTTGGTTTTCTCCCAAGGTGAATTACTAAAATATGTGAAAAAATATGCTTATAAATTTATGGATAAACTAGAAAAGAGAAAGTCGGCGTTGATATCTCTCTACAAATGTCGTTCAATAATTCGCTTTGTAATTGGCTTCTTAGCAAAATAATATTGATGGTTAACGCAGTGAGTTCTATTAGGTTTATGTGGAATTCGAATTAATGATTTGTTTATATTAAGTAACCTTGTACAAAATTCCTTTATCTTCATTATATTTATGCTTATCCTATATTAAAATGGCAAATCGCTTTTATTTACCTCTTTATATTGAAAAAAAAAATTCAATCTAATAAAACCTCATTCGATTTATTCGACCGATATAGAAATATTCTGAAAGCATGTATGTATCACACGTTCATATTTCAAAATATTTAAAGCACATTATATCTTATAAATTTTGCTTATATATATGTACAATAAACGAAAACAAACCTGTAATTTTTGTATAAAACGATTCCCACACTTTCAAACAACCCACTCAAACTTTTTCTCCTTCAGTATATTACATAATATATTATATATAAAATGGCGATACTAATCGAAATTGAATTTATTTTTTTTTAATTTGTGTACACACACAAATATATTGTATTTATTCAAAGAAATACTTAAATATATATACATAAGTTAATATGAGTTTGTAGACAAAAATAAGTTGTGTATAATAAATAAAAATCTAAAATTAACTACATATGAGGCGCTCAGCACATTAGTGTCCTATATCTGTAAAAATGACATTTTGAGGAAATTGCTATTATTTCAATATTTAATTTTTAAGAAAATTTTTAAAGGGTATAAACTAACTTATATCAAAATAGAGTGAAAAGAGGAGTAAACTGAGCATTTTGGAAATATAGGACAATTCTTAAAGCTATTTCAACTCTATTGAACATAATAACTCATTTTTGCAAAAATGTTGAATAGGCCACTAATGATCTGAGCGTCTCATATGTAATATTATGTGCTAGACTTTGTTGTATGTTAGGAATACTTACGACCATTTATTTTTATATTTTATATATATTTTTATAAGGATACATACCTGAACTACTTGGAGAACATGTATAATTTCCTGAATCAGAAACGGTTGCTTTTGCAATTAATAATTTACTTGTTCTAGTTGAACGTTCTGTAATGACATTGATACCACCCCTTTGAGAATAATTCATTACACGTTTACCTTTATACCAATATATAAATGATGGTGGAATTGGTGATTGCATTGCTTGGCATGTTAAATTTATATCGCTGCCACTTTTAATAAAAAGTTCTGAATTACCAAGAATTTTTGCTTTTGAAACTATTTTTCAACAAAAAAAAAAAATTTTCGTATTATTTTTTTTTTTTTTTTTGAATTTTTATTGAATTTTTTTTTTTTTTTTTGTAAATTATATTGAAAAGTACATACAAACATATACAAACAAAGTGCATATGATTGTGATAAAAATTTTTTTTTATTTATTTTTAATTTTCGTTTCATTTATTGTTGTTATTGTTATTCCACAGGATATACGTAATGTAATAAATAATTTAAAACGTTTTATTATAACAATGATGTGAAAAGTTTTGTTTACCACATTTTTAAGCGCATCAGAACCAAACCCAATAATTTTGGTATTTGCACAAAAAAGAACAAGAAAAAAAAATTATTTACAAAAATGAGAAGACAATTTGAACCAAAAAAAAAAAAATACAACAACAGCACAATTGCACCAAAGTTGCAGAGAACACAAAACGAAGTTGATGAAAAACAAATTTACGAGCATGAAAATAGAAAGAGAAAAAAAAAATATATAAGAAATAACAGTTATTTTTTATTTATTTTTATTTTTGTTTAATTTTGTTATATTTTATTTTTTCTAAAATAATTTAATAGTTAAATTAATAGTTTACAATTTATTTTTATTTCAATTTAATGAAAATGGAAGGCAAACTTCACAACAAAAGGAACACAAAAAAAAAATTGCTAGAAAAATTATTGTGGTAAATAAATTTAAAGGACTAAAAAAAAATGGGGGAAAAAAAAGAAAGGAGATTGGAATATGTAAGGATAATAGAAAAAATAAATGTTTACACTTTACAAATAAAAAAACAAAGTTAAATAGAATAAAATAAATAGAAAAAAATAGGGGTATTTTCTATATTCTTTTTTCTCTTATATTATATAACAAAAACAAAAAAAAAATAAATAAATGAAATCCTATTTAATCCTTTTACCTATTCTCTAACTAGATACTTGTAAAGAGCTGTGATAAATACTAAAAATAGAGAAAAAGAGAATTTTAATCTTTAAATTGGAAGAAATAATACAATGTTATTTAAATAATCCTTATATAGCTGATTATTTTCTTTATATTCTATACTTTGTCTTTTTCTTCTTCTACTACTTTGTTCTCTTAAAATTCTTTGTTGCTTCTTTAAATTATTATTATTTCATATAAGATTCCGATTTTAAATACTCTACAAAGTATTAGAATAGTAAGTGCAACTATATGTAAAATAAAATAAATGAAAGGAAATTTTTATCATAGATCCTTAGTTTTATTAAAAATTTATTCGTAAAATTTGTGTTTTGAAATTACATATGTATGAATACTATGTACACTCATTCTGTGAGAAAAGTTGGAGAGTGACAATAGTTTAATCATTACAAAAAAAAAAACAATTAAATTTCGTGTTAACAAAAATTATTATTGAGTATATTAAAAGTGAATGGAATTAAAATAAGCCTAACACAATCCGTACCCTTAAGAAAGAATTTTAAAAGTTATGATTGATTTTGGACTTGTTTATACTTAGCTGATACCATATTAATTTTGAAATAAATTTTGCAATAATTTTCATATTATTTTGAAATTTGCCTACTTTTAGGGGTTGTATGAAGAAAGCACTGCAAAAAACTAATTTTATCAAGAAATTTAAATCAGTTTCAACATATGTTGGTCTCAAGAGAAAAAATTTATTGTATACATATTCTTATTAAATGGGTACAGCGAAATAATATTTAACGTGGGCGGGAAAATGATTTTGAATTGAAATGAAAGTGACACAACTCTGAAAAAATATTTAAATATAAATATGTAACAAATATATTTGCATTATTATGCAATACGCATTAATGCAAGGTACATTAACTTTTTATGCATTGTATAGCCACTTGAAGGAGTCATCTGGGTCGTGTCTCAAAAATTTTATTCAGCTTGGTATGTTCAATGGACCCTGTTGGATTGAGACCCTAGCCTGCCATATAAATCTTAAAATCGAAAGGTGACTTACCTTGCGTGATAATAGAATTAAAGAATTTCTATATTTCGATGCCGCTTCAAATTCTAAACTTTAAAATTTTAAAAAAATTGAAGCAGATTTATTCATATTTAAAACTTGCAATAAGGATGTTTTTCATAGATCATATGGGGGTAAATAAAATTATTTTGAAGCCCGTCCATTTTCTGTTGTAAATTGTGTGATATTGAAATGACAAACATTCTTAATTTTCAAATTTCCCAAATAATATGCACAAATTGCAATTTTTTACTTTCATTATCCGAATCAAAAGCTGATAAAAATTTTTTTTAAAAATTTCCACTACTCTCTACGATACTCTACAGTAATATGTATATTAAGAATGTAGGGAGTATCAAGATTAATTAGTAGTTTTCCTAGCCTTTAATTTATTGGTGAAAGTTGTAAAATTGTATTTGTTAAATTGTTATATGTTGCTCTGTTGCGGACTACATACATTTCATTCAACTAGTTTCTATTATTTTTAAATGACATTTATGGAATTGTTTGTATTTTGTTCTTCATTAAAAAACGTGAATATTAAAAAATTTTATGATAGACAATTTAAGAAATATTTTTTTCCAATTACAAAAACTTAATTTGAAAATTGATTTTCCAATGCAATATTGAAAATTTTTTAGTATCTATGGAAAATTTTGTTGTTTTCTCTCTCAATTTCCGAATAGCAATGTCAAAATCTTAAAATAATTTTAATGATCTGCAATTTCACACACATATGTATGTTGTACGAGTACGTATGGAAAAAGCGGAAAATTATTTAAAGCCAAATTAAATATGTTTTTCAAATTTACTTATTTTTTCGGGGCAATTTTGTTGGAATTAAAAAACTGCAAGGTCGATGAGATTCAATAAATTTAAATTATTTTTTTTTTCAGTTTTGCAAACTATTCGTTCACATAGCATTTATCATTAAATCAATACAAGAAATAAAGAATATAAAAAATGAGGAAAAAAATAAGCGGAAATAATAGTGCATTATCACTCATACGATTTCAATGACATTTTACAAGTCCATTTCCTCTACAATCATTCAATTTTTGATTTTATTATTCAACTATGATTTGGGTTTTTATAAGAGAATTTATTTTTTTTTTCGATATTATCACGATTTATGTATGTATATTTTGTATATACAGCTATGTGCACATACAAGTATACAAACATATATACAATCAGCTTTCTATATTATGGTGTATACGGAAATTGCAAAACAGTTTTTCTTTTTCGTTTTTTTGTGTATCAACAAAATAAACAGTTAAAAAGAAGTCCTCGACCTGAATTTTCACCTCTTTTATATTATTCGTCGATTTTTTATTCGCTTGAATTTTGATGTTGTGCATTAAAATTTACATATTGTACAACATATATAAAATTCAATATTAATAAAATTATAGGTATATATAGCTACTAGTATTAGTTTAACCGAAAATATAGAAATACAGTACTGATATTGAATTTCAGTTTAAATATTCTATTCTCAACAATTTCCAGTTTAATTTTTCGTGTAGTATGGAAAATGTTAGGATTTTCGAATTAGAGTTCCTGATTTTTTTATCGTTGAAAGTGATAATTCTTGAATTTTCAATAGATAATTACTATAGAGTTATAAATCCTAGTATAATTCCTGGTATTAAAAAGCGATAGGAAGAGTAGTGGAGATTTGGCCCGACTGGCGGTCGTTGCGAAAGACCAAATCCCAAGCAGACCGCTTGGATTTTAGCTGAGCCGTCGAATACCGATACCATCCTGGAGATGATCAGATTTGGCAGGTAATCCCAACAGCCAACTGGCGGCTGGCAAAGTTGGAAGAGAAAAAAGGCGACTACCGGCAGGCCCTCATAATAATAAATAGGGAATCTCTGGTACCTCTGGAGAGGCACGGATTTGTCCTTAATTATGTGTTCCCCTCCGTAACCCATAAAGTGTATAAACCAGACACGAAGGTGGAGGGGGGCCAGAAGTAGAGTAACCGACGGGAACATCCTGAAGGTGTGCCATCGGTCGTCGACGTCACCAACAGGGCTCCGGAGAAGTTGTCTGGTCAGTCCCGCTCTCATCAGAAGCAGAAATGCTGGATGAAGCGGGGTTGAAAGACGATGACGTAATTCATCTCATCTGGAGGGGGCTTTCTTGGACTTGGATCTGGATGAGGATGCAGATAAGCCGCTGGTGGAGGTTAACGAAAGCAGTAATGTTCCGTGCAATTCAGATCAACCTCCACTTTTCCAAAGCAGCTTCGGATGCGCTCCTTCTCCGCTTACAAAGAGGTAGAGGAGATATAGTCCTGGTCCAGGAGCTCTGAATGCCAGGGAGAAAAATCTGCAGGCTGAGGACGCCAGGATACAAGCTGTTTTATAGCGACGGCAGTTCGAAGGTAAGATGATGCATACTTATTAAAAGTAACTTAAATCCTTTTCTATTACCGCTTTACAGCAATGAAGACTTGACTGTAGTCAGTCTTGAAGCTGGTGGCAGTATCTCTTGGCGGGCGTCAGTATACCTGACCTTCGACTTCCAAGGGGAGCTACCGCCCGAGAATTTCAAGGACATGGTGGAGAAGGCTCAGTCTCTCCGAACCGGCTTTATTATTGGGAGCGATGCCAATGCGCATCATGTAATCTAGGGAAGCTCGGACACTAACATGAGAGGTGAGTCACTTTTAGAATTTATTTTGAGTACTAACCTCACATTATATAATAGAGGCTCAGAGCCAACTTTTATTACTAAAAATCGCCAAGAGGTTACAGACATAACTCTGGCCTCAAATATTCTTGCTGCTTTGGCCAGGAATTAGGAAGTGTCAGAAGATCATTCCTTTTCAAACCTTCGTTATATAGATTTCGATATGGTAACCAACTGGAATGCTCCTTTGATCTTCAGAAACCGCAAAAGGACTGAGACGAAGCGATCCTTTTGGAGGGAGTTTTCTGGAAGGATTGGCGGGGTTGCCGAGGCATCTGGACTAAGGAAGATCCTGACAAGTGACCCAGTCGTGCC